ATACATACATACATACATACATACATACATACATTACATACATACATACATACATACATACATACATACATGCATGCATACATTACATACATACATACATACATACATACATTACATACATACATACATACATACATACATACATATGTACATGCATGCATACATACGAGAGAGGGAGAGTGGGGAGAGAGAGGCTTGGGGGGATGGGGAGGATGGGAGCAGAGGGAGGGAGAGAGGACGACAGAACACACAAGGAGACAAGGAAGAGAGGAAGAAGGAGAAAAGGGAGAGGACAATGTCGGCGGACTGAGCCGGAGGCTCTAAAGTTTAACTTAGATACATTACGGACAATTGTAGTAAATACTTCAGTTGAAGTAGATGCTGTTTGTTCTTGCATGGTTTCAGTTTCAAAAGCAATAGGGAGAGAACCCTGTTCAAGGATTTTAGCACACTCTGCATATAAACTATCGTCAAGAGTATAGACATTTCCTTTGAATAAAGGTTTTGTAACTGACCAAGTGATACTCGTATTTGTAGCAGTAAAAAGTCCTGTTCTATTAACAATTGGTTTTAATACATTAGTGGTTAAAGAAAAATTCAACTGTTATTGGACAATAAGATAAAGGCATCCAGTTTTCACAAGTCTTAAAGCATTTTAAGTTTAAATCAAAATAGACATTAGCACCTTTACCTCCTTTAATTCCTCTATAATTACCATTGGTAACATTTCTAACGACTGCTTGGGTAGTAGAAGTTCCCGTAGCATCACAAATTAAAAACCGTCCATCGTGATTAAGAAGAATATTTCCAAAACCTAATGCTTCATCAATTATTTTTTCTTCTGGTGATTTTAATACATCTTTCATTGCGCTCGCACGAGAAAGAGAATTTAAATCACATACAATGACATCACCCATTAACACACGCACCCTATCAAAGAAACCTGCTGTATAAATTGGTCTGAGTTCATTACTTGCTGACGCATCAGTGTTGTTTAGAGTAAGTCCTAATAATAGAGATGGTAAGGACAACCATTGGTTAGGTGGTCCAGCAATGTTAAATCTAATTACAGAATTTGTATCAGCGGTATAAGTAGAAACTGAAGAAGGATAAAAGTTTTTACTTTCTTTTGAACGGACATAAGAACCACCTTCTTTTAATTTAAATCATAAATTCTTTTCAACTAAAACATCTTCAATGTCTAATGTTTCCATCTTTATATATTTAATAGTAGAAAATCACATTTTATTCTATCAATAAATTAATGAATGTTTAAATCATAAAAAACCTACGGATGAGAAAACAAATAAATTAGTACTGAATTTAAATGATAAAGAAAATATGTAATCCAAATAAGAACCTTACAATTTTATTTGAAGCAGGGGTTAAAACTTAAGAAAATTCATAGGACAGTTAAATTTGAGCAACGGGAAATTTTAAAACCTTACATCGAATTTAACACTGAGAAACGAAAGAATGCTAGAAATGATTTTGAGAAAGATGTTTATAACTTGATGAACAATGCCATATTTGGAAAAACAATGGAGGATAAGCGAAAACATTTAGACTTTGAAGTTGTGAGTGATGAAACTAGATATATGAAGTGTGTAAGTAATCCTAACTTCAAACATAGTCATATCATTAATGAAAATTTGGTTGGAGTTGAAAAGCAAAAAACAAAGTTGAAACTAGACACACCTATATTTATTGGGATGAGTATTTTAGATTTGAGTAAGCGACACATGTATTAGTCTTATTCTGACGTTATGAAACCTAAATATGGAGATAAAATTAAAATGGTATATACTGATACTGATAGTTTTGTACTTCATACTAAAACCGATGACATTTGTGAAGACCTGAATACAATTAAAAAAGAAATAGATTTTTCAGACTCAGTTTATGGTGATGTTAAAAAATATAAGAAATGTAAGGGCATAGCAAAAGGCACAGTAAGACTTGAAATATGTATACAGCATTGATTACAATATACATCATAATCACTTATTTTATTTCACAGATTGGCGTCTAACAACTTATACAGTGTTATAATAACATCATTCATTTTATTATTGCAACATTCACACTTACTATAATTAAACAGTGTCATTTTCCTCTTAATAGATTAAGTCAATATTTCTTTAAGTCGTTTTCAAAGAATTTAATTTTATAATGGCCATAAGCAAGTGAGTCTATACTATCTATCCAATATTTTTGTTTTCATAACTACTAAGAGCAATTTTATTAGTTGTTACACTAAAAATTCTATGGTTTTTACGTCTAATACTATTAAATGACTTATGTATAACCTCATGAGTTTTTAAAACCGTCTCGAAGTTTCAATTACAATTGAAATTCTTTATGAGATATCAAAAACAATTTCCTGTATGTTTTTCATAAAATTGCTAGAAAGTCATTTGAAAAAGAAACTGATCAGTTTTTTAATAATAAAGATTTGATTAAAAGGTTTGGAGGAGAACTAAGCATTAAACCATATAAATCATTTGCTAAAGAGTTTCGTGATTTTTTTGAAGAGATTGATTGGCATTTATTAAGCAAAGATAAAATAAACGAGGTCTTGAATGAATTTAGAATAACTAAATATAATATATGGTATTACCGCAACACCAAATATACAGTATGTCTATTAGTTATTTTGTTTTTCTGGGAATATATGTACTCAATAATAGGAAAAGACAATATCAAATATATAGACATTGGTGATATGGATAAATATGTAGATTACATACTTGAAGACATATTTCCTGACTATTATTTTCATCCTTAATTCTTAATCATAGTGTAATTATAACATGTAAATTATTATATGTTATAATTGTAATATACTTATCGTTTGTAAAGATTGAATTATCTGTCTTATTTTTCTTAATGACTTAAAATGACTTAAAGAAATATTGACTTAATATAGTAAGATAGAAATGGTTGAAACCGCAATCAATAATTGTACCAATAAGAAATGCTACGACTGTTGCCACTTCAAAAAAGAAAATATGGAAATACACAAATTGAATTTTACTAATGGTATAGCAAATAATATTCTTGATTATGCTTTGGATGAAGAAGATTTATGTAGAATCTGTAGAAATTGGAGATATTATCAAGCATTAATCAAATGTCATTTGAGCATTAAAAGAAGAAATAGTAGAAATGTTGAAGATGAAATCTTGATATTTTTAACTGTGTATGAAAGACCACCTTACGATTATGTTAAACAGTTTAAAATCAGTAAGAAAAGTATGAAATGATTAATGACATATTAAGGATGTTAGTAAATCGCAGAAGCAAAGAAGAGGACATAAAGGAAGCTATCAAATCATATATTGAAAGTAAAAAGTTTATTGTTAAAAATACAGTGAGAGATATTAACATTATTTTTCAAATGATGTATGAAAGAAGTACGATGTATCAATTAAATAGTTGTCCTGAACTGAAATTATAATCATAGTATAATTATAACATGTAAATTATTATGTTATAATTGTATTATACTTATCGTTTGTAAAGATTGTATTATTATATTTTCCTAATTTGCTTATCTCTTCCAAAGTGCGTTGTTTAGACTTGGTATGCGTCTTCAGTTTTTTCGTGCTTTGGCTGTTTGTTTTCATTTTGTTTGATACTCTTGCGATATTTTTTGATGGTATGTTGCTTTGTTTTTTGTTGATGTGTGTTTTTTAGTTCGGGTTCTTTGATGATTTAGAGTTTTGCTGTTTTGTTGGTCTGCTTGATTGAATTATTTAATGTTGTATGCTGTGATTAAATATTTTTGTTGTTGGTTGTGATTACTTATTTTGTTTGCTTGTTGTTCTGGATTTTGTTTTCTGTTTGTTGTGTTGCTGTTGGAAAAAATAGAAAGAATAATTCTTTGAATTCTCCTTTTACTATTTTTGGGGGGGCGGCAATTCCCCCATGATGATTGAAAAAGTGATGATTCAAGTAAAGGCGCGGGGGGGTTGAGGGGGGCGGCAGCCCCCCCCACGATGATTGAAAAAGTGATGATTCAATTAGGGCCAAAAAATATATAAAAAAGCAGCGGGGGGGTCATCAGTTCTTTTGCGGCAAGGCCTCATGGTACAAGTGAGGATTCAATCACGGGCAAACCAACCCCTGTAAAACGGCAGCCAAAGAATCTAAAAAGCAGCTGTTGCATGATGATTGAAAAAGTGATGATTCAATTAGGCGTGTATTTTGAAAGGGGGTGGCGGGGGGCACCAGAGAGAAACTTGCGATGCTGATGATGCAGGAAGCCAAGGCTAAAAACCAACTGGGAAAGCAGAGGATGCGAAAAGCCAAAGCCAGAAAGCCGCCAAAAGCCACAAAGCCAAAAAGCCAGCGGAACTGGCAATGCAAAGGATGCGAAAGAGAGGAACTGTGAATGAAGAGGATGCGAAATGAAAAGCCACAAAAGCCACAAAAACCCACGTAAAAGCCACAAAAGCCAAAAAGCCGAAAAACCACCTGAAAAACAAAAATAATTCCTAAAAACGAAAAATAATCCTAACAAAAATGGCCCTCCATGTTATAAGTCTACTGTGGCTATCATCATCATCATCCTCATAATCATGTTTGTCATCATTTGCATTGTATCAGCGCCCTCGTCATCGCCATTGTCATCGCAAGTGTCATTCCCTGGGACCGCGGGCGCTGGGAATGCAAGCGACGCTGGGGAACAAATGGCCATCATGATCGATCATGATTGTGTTCAGCATCGTACTCCCAACTGCTCGGACCCGCAGCAGCGAAACTTCAACATGTCTTGAGTTCGTGACCTCTGGTTGGAAAAACGCCGGAAGCAAACACACCAGCACTACACACGTCTCAGAGATGAATGGGCCAAATGGTTGCATGAATTAGTCTTCGAACTAGAACATGTAACTTGAACTGGATGTGTTTCCGCAAGTTTTGCAGCCTCAGTGCAACTTGTGTCGGCACTTTTCATTGACATGGCAGGTGGACCGATCTCCAAAACATCAGCAAAATCAATCGGCAAGAGGAAGATGATGTGTGTGTTTCACGTTGCCTTGTGCGGGTGCTAAACATTGCAATTCCGATTCAAATGGACAATTTGCGCAACATGCGTGACTGTTTCGCGCCTTGTCGACCAGGCCAGACTTGTTCTTGAGCAAGGGGAAAATCGCGCAAGTGATGGGTGCAACGCAGGGGTGGAACCTGAAAGCATCGAAACTTGCGCGCACACCGGGTTGGATGGTGGATGTGCCTCAGTAAGGACCTCTTTTCGCCGTTGATCTCGTCCTCGTCATAGGCGCTGCAGAGCAGCGCCAGGAAAAGACGGTCCACACCTTGCGAGTCGAAAGGTCCAGGACTGCAACCGATTTCGAGCAAAATTCTGAGAGAAGCGAACAGTTCCACCGTCTTGCGCTTTGTTTTCAAGAAAAACATATACTTGTGCAATTTGTGCATGTATTTGCAAAATTGTTAAGTCTGATCATTTGTGCGCCAGAGTTCATAAACTGCATTCAAAGCCCTAGAAAAGGCATCTCTCGCGCGTGATGCTTAAAGCTCAAGAAGTCTCGGGTTGGAGCCGGCTCCGACGGCTCCGACGGCGACTGGGGCTCCAGGCCCAAGGAAGGCTCGATCACGTGGGGCACAAACTTCCGCTTTTGGCCGGGAACCTCGCGATGTCGCGTTCCCTCGGGATTTTGCAATCTCGCAACGGGAGACTTGGTTCGAGAGGCCGGAGAAGCCGCATGTCTACGAACAGTGACACTCGCGATAGGCCTATGTCGCACCGATTCAAGCAAGCCCATGAGCAAGTAACAAAGGCATTTCAAAAGCTGCGCGTTCTGTGACATGACTGAAAGTTGGGCGAAGCCGAATTCGGTTTGGTTTGCGGCGTGCGCCCGTGGGGCATGCGCCAAAAACCGCACCCGTCCTGGTACTCCAAGCTTTCACCGCTCGCCGCGGCGTGCTGCTGGAGGTCGTACCTTTCGATTCGAATGAGAATGAAACTCGAAAACTTCACTGAAGAATTCGCCGAAACTCGGAACTCTCGGGACTTGCGACTTGGGACTTCGTCGGACGATTTGGGATCCGATGGGTCCGATGGACGCGCGCACTCGCCCCGTGCTGCCACGCCCAGAAGCTCCTGGGTCCCAAAGGGGTACCTCGGGAGAGTCCGAGTCCGATCGCACGCACGCATCCACGCGAGCCTAAAGACCACGTCCGTGCAGGCGCGCGCATAGTGCGCCAGCTTGTCACCTTTGTGCACCTGAAAGAAGAAAAGAAAGGAAGAAAACAGAAAAGGAAGAGGAAAGGAGAAGGAGGAAAGGAGAAGGCATTTCAGACAGGAAAAGAGGAAAGACATGCGTGAGTCCTCGCGGTCCAGGAGGGCTTCATTGAGGCCTACGGCCTGAGCTGACTGACTCGTGCGACCCGGAAATCCATTCGTATCGGATCTCCTTCAGGAAATTCCACATCTCGTTGAGCCAGTCTTCTTGAATGGCCTCGTAGTCTGCCTGTGACCCCGAATCTGACAGAAACCTTTGCTGCATTTGGCCTCTGGGTCTATGAAATATTCAATTTCCATCTGCTCGAACTCGCGGGAACGGAAGAGGAATTGCCTATGCACGTGTGACAACGTATGACGTGCAAGGCGAGCTGCCGAGCCGGGCCTCGGCGTGATCTCATTGCGGAAGGCTTTTCCAATCTGGGCAATGCCGAAGGGAACCTTCTGACGCATCACGTAGCACACCTGGAAAGGTGCAACACAGGGGGTGTGCAACAGAGACCCGCATTCAGGTTCCAAGACAGCTGAGGGCACATTGATCACCGTTTGTTGAATATCTGTTGAGCCTGAGTTGAAGCAACTATCCCCTGCCTGCTTAAAGTTCACAAAAATGCCTTGAGCGGTTTCTGGTCGCAAATAGCCTCGGCCAGCTGCCGTGCATCTGGCTGCCTCTGCTTCTCGAGAGGAGCGCTGGTGGAGGACGCGTCTGTATACGGCCCAACGTTGGTCTCGAACATGAGGTTGAAGGCTCTGAGGCATGGCACGCATGGCATCACGCATGCCACACTGAAAGCACCAACCCAACAAACCCGGGTCCAGCGATGGCTCAGTCCTTGCGCCAGTCAGAGTCGGGTTTCCCGTCGCCGGCGAGGGAATCGACTCCACCTTGAGTATCAATCCAATCTGCTGAGCTAGGTTCAACCCGGGAAGGAAAGAAACATTTTGAACTAAAAATGACCCTTAGGCCCTTAGGGAGGCCAAAAGGGAAGCAACTCTGCCGAGCCCATCCAGCCGATGACCACCATGTGCCCGACATCCGCTGCGGTTGCTTCAGTCATGTCCTGACAGCTTTTTTGGCAGAAGCGCTTGGAGTTCTTGGAGTTTCAGCATCGGAATTTCTCAACTTCCTTGATCTGCAAAGGCTTCAAGTTGCCTTCCATCTGCTTCTCCTGCACCAGTGTCAAGTCCGACCGTCCGGCGACGTCCCCATGGCCAAGGCATTTTGTCTGCGAGGCTGTGGGTTTCCGGAACATGGTTCCGATGCCCAGGAACGCAGAGTGGGTGACACAGACTTGAACAGCGGTGAGACGCTCAGCCGCTTACTCCTCATAGGCCTTTGACACTTTCGAGACGAAAAGGTTAGGATTCTTTCCTGAGGCTGCTGCGGCAACCCAAGCCTCGCCATTAGAAGAACTCAAATTTCCGAAGTTGCGAAGACTGAGGGGCTGGCGGCTTTGATGGCAGACTCCAGCTTGGGCTCCTGCAATCCGCTTGCTCGCTCGAGCGCATGTTGGCACTCTGACACAACATCAGTCAACATCTTGGGCTTGAGTTGTCAGCAACATGACCCAGTTCCTCGCTCGCAAAGTCAATCTTTCCTCAAGTATTCCGTATCTTTGTCCCTGACAATCTCAACTTCCACAATTCTCAATCATAAGAGTACTCGAGCTCAATGCTCGCTCTTGGAGTCGAATTCTCAAAAATATCATGTCTTTCAGATTTTCAGTGTCTCGGTACATTTGCTTTCAAATTTTCGACACCTCTGTCACTCTCTCTCAGTTTCACGGGCTCAGCCACATCGATTCTCACTTTTTCTCGGCTCGCCTGGATGCCGCAGTCCCCCAGCAGCGCGATGAGGTCGGCGCCGCGCCGGGACCTGAGCTGATAGCACTGCGGACTTTGAATTCTTTGAAGTCCAAATGTGAGACTCGCTCTGAGTCAAAGCCGCTGACACAACCCCAGAGCCCAGTTCCTCACTTCTCTCAGCGTACACAGGCTGCGAAACGCACTGAACGCACTTCTCCCTCTCCTCGGCAGCCTTCTCCAACAATTTTGCCAGCTCCTGTCGTTTATTCTCGGCAACGCTTGAAACGGGCTGCGCCAAGCGTCATGCCGTGCTTGCAAAGGCTGACTTTGCTTGAAGGCTTCTGAAGCTAGTCCATCACGCATTGTCCTCTTGGATGCTGTTCGATATGCACTGTAGCCGGCCAGACAGGCAAATTCAAATTGAAGTCGCAACCAGCGCAAGTGCAACATTTTGCTGCAGGAGGCCAATACAGTTCGAATGCAACAGGCCCAAACAAGTGCCACAAGCGCCCATTGACATGGCAGTGAACGATTTCGCAGCTGGAGACGTGACAGGGGGTCTGCGGACTCCCGAGCTATGCCCAGAATGTACAAGTCTCGCCGTTTGCTTTTCCCAGAAAATAGCAATGGACATGAGAGGCCGAATTTTGCCTCGCCACAAACTGCTGTTTCTGGCCTCGCGCGCGTCGGCATGCAGCGCTGCACCCTTGATGGCCTCACGAAGTTTCTCCGAACTCATGTGCCTCTAGTACACCGAACTTTCGGAAGCTCCTGGAAACATTACCGAGTTAAAACAATGGCGAGTATCTCAACTAATCGCCGTCGTTGTCGTGCAAAGCAACGGCCAACAATAGACCGCTATCCAGGCATGGCTTACCTGCAGGAGGCACCTTCCCAGGCTTTTCGGCACACACATGAAAAGGGGAACTTATTTTTGAACAAACATGTGTGTTTTTGTTACACCGTGTTTGGTTCTTGGGACCGACAGCGGCACTAGCGGCTCCAAGCGTTGGGCTTTGCTTCCATTTCTGGAGTTTTGGGCTTGGTTCCTAGCATTGACTGCTCGGTTTCTCACAAGAGGAGCTCGACCGGAGCCGCGCGCTCGTTCTCTCAAAGCCCCGTCCCTGTGCGCCAAAAGCACAAGGCCTGTTGACCCCCAGGCGTGGATTGCGAAGGCTTGCTAAAATCAGCAAAGACATTGCCCACAACACGCCCACGCGGAGAAGTTGGCGCGGTGGATCCGGGCAAAAGCTTTATCTTCTAATTGTACCGTGATGGGATAGATCCTTGCAATTATTCATCTTCAACAAGGAATTCCTAGCATGTGCGAGTCATCAGCTCGCGCTGATTACCCCCCTGCCCCCTGCACACGCTGCCCGTCGCTGCTACCGACTGAGTAAGTCGGACTGACGCAGCGCTCAGCTTCTGGACGCTGATTGGATTGCTTCACGAACCTTCTCACTAACTAATTGTGAGTGACTGTCAACGAACTGCTTCAAGGCAAGTGCTCCCATTTACTTTTTCCATGGCGATATCCCTCCGACGGGCCCGACACCGCACCGCCCCGCGCCCTTCCCGAACCCGCGCGTCGCCCGCGACAAACAGGTGTCGCGCAATTGGCGGTTTGCGCTTTGCCTGTCGCCCGAACTCCCGTCGCCTCTCGTCTTCTCTTCTCGTTCTCTTCATCTACTTCTTCACGACAGCTAACCTTCACTCCAGAAAGCTATTTGCATACGTTATCTTTTTGCCTCAATGGCATTCTGCAAGCTATCTGCAAGAACGATCTTTTCCCACGCGCAATCTGATTGTCCGTAATTAAGCAGTCTGTCTGCGCATGCTACCTTTCAATTAGTTTCCGTACTGCGGAAGCTCCTAAACTTCCTTCGGGTATTTAAACAACTAACCCGTGCGCTCCACCAATGTCATGTCCCAAACGGCACCTCAATGCAGTCCGCCATGGCGACACCCAGCAAGTCAAGACCTCGGGATACGGATCGAAAGCGCAGGGTGAGGGGAAACGAGAGGACGAGAAAGCGGCGAAAAAGCGGAAACGCAAGGAAAAGACAAAACTATCAACTTCCGAGCAAGTAAAACAGTTCAGAGCATATGAACTTGTCACCAAACTACTTCCGGGCAGCAATAAACAGTTAATCTGGTCTGTCTGCACATTCTCAAGAATAAACATCTTCCCGCAAGAAAATTCGTTCTTCTCCTCCTCCAATTCTCAGATGCATTTCCCTTGGCTCCTTTTGTTGCTTCTGTGTTGATATCCTCTGTCTGCTGGTGAAAACTTTCCAAGTTTAGCAAATCTATCAGAGTCGCAAGATTGCTCAAAATTAATGGAGCGACTGAAAGTGGTAAAACAAGGCAGGCAAAGACTGGTTTAGGCTTGCCTTTCCTTACGGAAACGGCTTCGGGCTTGCTTCCAAAAATCAATTTTCATTTAACCGCAAGGCCTTATTCAAACAATGTTCATCTAAACGGGTCCCTTCTCCTTTTGCCATTCGCTCGTTCCTCCTCACTTGTCCTTTTCGATTGTTTATTTGGTTTCTGCAGTTTCCCTCCATGCTCCACTCTTGGGCCAGCCGTATCGGCATTTCAAGCCAGCACCATTTCTCCAGCGCGCCTTAACTTGCGCTTCGTTACGGCCTGGTTTAAATGGTTCAGCTGGCTCGCGTCAGCTAGCAGCTGGGAACTGGAGACTGGCAAGCTCTGTTAAAAATTGAGCGCTGTACGGAAGACTTCTACCCTTCAGAGCTATGTTGTTGCCTCATTGAATTGCGCTTCGCGATTCTGCTGTTTCTCTACTCTTGAAGAAACAAATATCATAATTACACAGAAATGATTCCAACACTCCGCGGTCAGACTTTGTTTGCAGAAAACATCAGCGGCAGGAGGGAGATGACAAAGGCTGTGAGCGCCCTGCCCTGATTCCGCTCCAGGCAAGTGTCAAGAGCTTCCTCAGGTCAAGCACACTGCGCTATGCAGTCTTCATCTCACTCATTCGCAATTTGTTGGGTCGCTGGCTACAGCTGATGCCAGGTTCTGCGTGTGCGTTTGCATGGCAAACTCCAACTTTGACCTCAGAAACAACTCGTGAGCGCAACGTCGCCAAGTCGCAAAGTTGCAAGCCTCGCAAGACTGTGGCGCCGACTCGATCATGGCAGCTGTGCCCTGGTGCCTCCGCAGCTTGTCGGACCGTAGGACCGTCGGACCATGTCGGACAGTCGGAGCCGGCTGAGCGCAGGTCTTTGCACCGCGTTGTAAGCCTCGCGAATTTCCACACATTCACAAGGCCACATGCAAGCAAGTCGACTGAAATGACGAGTCGGGCCCAAGTCTCAGACATTGGTCAGCTGTTGGCGCTTGAAGGTTTGAGGGAAACTGAGGGGCGTAAAGCCGGTCACCGGTTCTGGATTTCACAGTCAGCACCTTCACCGTAAAGCGCTTCGTGTGTTGACTCTTGAGCGCAGAAAAAGGCTGGGCGAAGGCCCTCTTTCTGCGGCTGGCATCCAACACACGCCCAAAAACAGCCCGCGTAGCAAAGGGCACGCGATTCAGAATCCGCAGCACGCCGCAACTGGACTTGGCGCGTGGCTGAGGCTCTGCCAAATCATTTTTTGCACGTTGAACTCCGCCTCTGCCTGTTCGCATCAAGCCATGTCAAGGTGTTTCCCATGCCTCCAAGAGCAGGCCTTTTTCCAGACCTCGGCCTGCTCCTTGGCAAGCCGCGCCTGGAGAAAAAGGAGCAACAGGCTCGGCAACGGAACTGGAAGAAGAATCTTCAAATTTCGAGAAGGCTCGAAACTGCGAAAGGGTCTGGGGCAGGATCAAACAGCCCCTAACAAGTAAGCTGCCAGGAGGCGAGTCAACCACGTAGTCAATGACAAGGCAGTTGGGGTTCGACTTTCGTAGGGTGACCAATACCCTCGACAATGGAGTCGTATAGTAGCGGTCGTTGTAAAAGGGGGTTGTCTAGTAATGATCTGCGCTGTCTCACGACTCCATCGCATGTACATGTCGGCCGCACACAAAACACCATTTCCCCAAAGGTTTGAGAGACCTTAAAAGAGGGGAAAGAGCAGGGTGACCCTCAGAACCTGCCCTCAGGATGTTTTAGCCTGCGGCTCGGAGATTCTTAGCATCCCCCATCCCGGGCTTGGGTTCATCCCTGGGCCGGGAACTAATCACAAACGCATGCCGACACGCATGGGCGCACGGCTTCTCTTTTCTTCAAGTCAGTGAAACGTCTCTGCACGAGTTTGACCAGGTTCTGCAAATTTAACAGGAAATGAGAATGCTACAGGTCACGTACCGGACCTCATGTGCAACGGTGCACATGCAGCAAGCTATCTATAAGGTAATTGTACAGATCCAGGGCAGGACTAGCATAGTCCATCACCAATCTGTAACCAGTAATAATTGTAGCATCAAATAATCATTGACCACCAAATACCTGGCATCGTAGTCGCCGATGACGATACTGTGCGGAAACAAGAAAACATCCTGTGGTGACAAACGCAAGTCTCATGCAAATACTTTTGGGTCGCCCATGGTACCGTGCACGACGAGTACCACAAGGGCTGACCATGACACCATGCACGATGAGTATCACGATCCCATTGTGTAAAAGCGCAAATTCCAGCAGATCCCCCACAAAGAGAAGCCGTAACGGAAATGCTTGATCACCAGTGTGATGATTCTGCGATTGCCTTTCTACTCGCCCTCCAGCGGAACCTTTCTAGCAAAGAATGTGGCCTCTCCTCGGTCCGATTGATCTTCTCGATGTAGCGCGAGGGCAGATGTATATTGCGAGAAAAGCACAATTGGATATAAGTGTCAACCTCTTTGACGCTTTGAACGCAAATGATGGCACCAAGTTCAACTTTCAAGAACTTGCGTCCAATGAGCACATCTGTTCGGTAGAAGGTCATGTAGTCACACTTGAGGCCAAGGGCCATGCATCGGAATATCGTGTCGCTGACGAAGGCAATGTCCTTCTCATGGCTGACGCCCCTGAACTGCTCTGCTTTGATACCAAGTATATTGCAGGCGGTCCAAATCCGATACATAATGTGCAGCCCTTTCAGCTTCAGGAACCAAAAGAACATCTCTTCGTCCCTGTGGTTCGCACTCTTGAACCTCACATTTCTGAACTTAGGGAGCGGCAACGACTTCGTTATAGGTGGGCGGGACTGGAATGTTCTGTTCGTCGACCTCGTTGAAGACCCAGTCGTCCCTCCCATTGATTGCGATGTAGGGGCAATAGACTCCGCCACCTTTGCCCGCTTCCTTCACCACGTCTGCCTCGTTGTTGGCGAATACCTTCCACACTTTGAAAGCACGATGCGAAGCCAGAGAGGTATGATGCCTCGCCGGACTCGTCAACGCAGATGGCTTTGACTTGCAGGAGGTGAATTGCGTCCGCATCCTCCTCAGGGTTGTCCGGACAAACTCCCGCATCTTCGTCGTCGATGTCCGTCCCGATGTCGATGGAAGGTGCGACCTGCCCGCAGACCGTTCCTCACTCATCCCATTGGTGTCGGGTCGTTCTTCCTCGGCGACGATGCGCTCAGCATCTTCCTTTGCTTCTCGCTGAGCTTGCTTCACTTCCTCCGTCACGTTTGCGGTGTCGGATGGCTTGGGCTCGTCGTCATCCACATGGATCACGAACTTGCCGGTGGAAATGAGCTCACATTCGCATGCCGCGCAGTAGCAAAATCCCCTTGGAATGATGACAGCGCACGCTGGGCATACTCTGTTGGAAATACTTGATGGATCGTCCTCGAACGGTTGAGGTTTCCATGAAAGCCTCACGCCCACAGCGTCCTTGAACCCTGGACAGATCTCGACGCGGGAGTAGATCCGCCTAACCTCTTTGACAGGCCCTTTCTTCACGGGCTTGAATCTCCAGATTGCTCTTACCTCTTTGAAGGGAATGGTCTCGAAGGCGACGATCGTCCCTCCCGATGTGACCCCTGACTGACACACGGACAATTTCCCCGTTGGCACGTAGATGGCGATGAGGTCATCTCCCTCTTTGGCATCGTGCATTGCAGTCTTGGTCGAGATGTTCTCGCTGTCCCAAGGTGCAAATACTCCGAAGTGTACCGCCAACCTTCGCGCTGCCAGGAACAATACCTCTCAAAATGATACCTTCCAGGGCTGATGGCTTTGTCACGTGGCATGCTCCGCCCAAGCGGTCGGACATGTTCGGGAACAACATGTTGCAAAGTTCAGCAGGAAACCAAAATCCGAATGTCCCGACGATGCTCGAATGCACAATGGTTGCCACCATCCGCCATGCTCGCGACGAATCCATTGTCCATCCATGAGTCTGCAGTCTCGGTTTCCGTGCTCTGCGATCCTCCGATCTGACGCGCTCGGCGGTGATCTGGAACTTGTCGTTGCTCCTGCACCGATCCTGCGGGAACGCGTCCTCACGGCTCAGGATGTGGTCGATGTTCACCCATCCTCCACCATTGCAAGGAAGAGGGTTCCCCCTCTTTTGTCCGATTTGGATCTTCACCAGTGCTTTTGATGTATAGAATAAGTCGCTGCGGTGAATGTTGGATCCGAACGCTGTGTAATCCTTGTGTCTCTGTTCTGCATGTTCATGACTTCCAAGTGTACTCCCTTTGGCAGTGTGTAGGTCATACACGAAAACCCTTGCACACCTTCGCATACTGCCTCATCACCGGGTTGAGGAATCACAGAGGGGTTTGCTCCACCAAACGAATCGAGCATGTTGTTGTACTCCTTCATGGTTCCGTTGGGGACCAGCGTGGAGTTCTCCTCCTTCTGCCAAATCAGCCATCTCGGAGAGGTTCGCAGCGTAGTTGTACTTGTGGAACTCCTCCCTCGGATAGAACATCTGCTCCTCCGTTTCCGGTTGATGTGGTTTGCTCATGAGGTTCGCTCGACATCGGCGCCATCTCTTCATCATCTTCATCATCACCATCATAATCATCATCAGTAACTTCCATGTCGATGTCTTCATCTGATGTTCTTCGGGAAGAAACAGCATCTTGATCTTGCCACGCGCCGAGTCAGACTCCGTTGCCCTCGCGGCATCTAAGTGGCAATGCAGTCGGAGCTTGAGAACACTGCTTTTGCAGGTTGCTCGGCGAATGTATAGTCTGTTTGTTGTTTGCAATGCAATGAGAGCTGCTGAGTGCAACGCCTTCATTTTGTGTGTGACTGAAGCCTGGCTTGCTCAGGAGTGAGCCAGGAGAATGCCTACAGGTGGAGGGCAGGAGAGCTGTATGAAACAATCAGTGCCTCGCGTTGTTGTCAATTCAACATTTGTGCTGATGGATCCACTCATGGACCAAAAGACATCCTTGTATCTTTGATGTTGTCAAGAGATGGCAAGGTGACGTCCCGTGGGACGCTGTCCACCGAACCCTCCAGCTGTGTGTACTCAACCACGTAGAAAGGTGTATACGGTCAAACCGTTATAGCCAAACCAGTGCAAATTGTTGTAAGGGGTAAAGACCAATAACCACGGTGGTGATCCTTGCAGCAGCAGCGTGAGTGAGGCTGTTTTCACTCTCTCAGGTCGATCACAGGCGAACGTAGTTCATGCAAGACCTTGAGCCCTACTTGTGACTTGAGCCAACATGACATTCAATGGAACATTCTAACCAACAAGAACATGGGCCTCAGAACAGCTTCCCAATTTAGGCACGGGGCCAGGAGGGTTTTAACATCCCCCATTTGGGTCGCATCGTTCATCATGCGGTCCAAACATCACAACACGTTCCAATGGCCACGGCTCCGACTACGAAACTGTGTCGAACACTCTTTCATTCACTATTGCTACACCGTCCATTCATTGTGAAACTGGCCGGGTTCAATTAAGACAGAAACATGCATCCGCAAATCGTAGCACATTCCCATACACAGATGCAACACACATTTTGCCTCGCACCATCACGCAACCATTGGAAATCCCGGCTGCCGCATTTGCGCATCGCGCAGCCGTCATTCATAGAAATCCATAGCAGCGCATGGTCATAAGCCATCTGAATATCATTGGCAAAGAAGATTTGGCGAGCAATATTTGCAAAATAGCCATTCCAGATACCACAAATAATATAAGGAAAAGAAATCATCCATGAGGTAATAGTGCCCATTCATGAATTTCCGGAACGTCATAGCCGTCGGAATATGTAAATACATACACATCCATTCTCCCTGGACGCATGAAATTATATCATGTCAAAAGAAATGTTCCATCGTAATGAAATCGATGAGACGCAAGCGATGGATGGGGACTAGCCCACATCATGCTGCAATCTACATCGAA